AATTTATGCTAGGACACCTTTTCTTTGATCATCAAAAATTCATTCCCATAATTAATTAATAATATCATCAATATAATGCAGTAGTTAAGGACAACATAACCTAAATGAAATCCTACTACTATTGCCATAACCTTTAGATCATAGTGAACATGCTACTTTAGAAATCAATGAAATATAGAAGAATCATAGGCTAATCTACTTTGATCCACATGAATCACTTATTTAGAATTCATCAATAACATCTATGTAATACAGTAGACACAACCATCCCTACACAATCGAATTCCACATTCATGCCTAATAGAGGCAAGGTTACAGTGAATCATGGAAATCTAAGCTAAACACATTCAATTCTTCATACATTTATCTACATGGATCCTCCATCATCAATTCACTTATATAAAAATAGATATAGACAACTAAACGTAAGAGAACCGCAATTCAACCATTAACAAGCCATGATCACAATGCCCATGCAAGAGCTAAATCGATTTAAGAAAGAAACATGGGTTCATCATGCAATTGGATTAAAATCATGTTAAAACCAATACATTAACATAAATTAGTCATGATTTAACCATTAAAAACATTTTTAGAAAGAACTCATAGATAGATTCAAGTAGAAGAACTTTGATCATGAAACTTTCTTTGCAAACATTGATTAGAACTCTCCAAGTGAAAGGTTACTTAGATATGAAGGATCACCATAACTTTGTATATTTGAGAACATATAAAACATGGTGAAGAACTCATGATAATCCAATCTACAAGCTGTTCTTGATCTTCGACAACAATGGAGGTTTCTAGAGAGAATTGGTTTTTGGAGGGAAGGTAAGGGGATTGGGAATGGGTTGTTAACGTTTTAGATTAATTATATACACCCAAAAGTAGGTAAATGAGTCAATTATACTCAGGTTAGTATGTGGGGTAAATTTCCCATTCACCCCTTAATAAAATATATACACCCAAAAATAGGTAAATGAGTCAATTATACTCAGGTTAGTATGTGGGGTAAATTTCCCATTCACCCGTTAATAAAATAGTGCACAATGCAGCAGTTATAGGCCACAATCGACTGGGCATTGGTCCATCGACGGGCCGTTCTGTGCCCTCCTTCGATTGGGTATGAGAATGTAAAGTGGCCAAGTATTCCCCATGATAAGTTACCATCGACGCCTCCCTATCAACGGGGCGTCAGTCAACCCACAGAGCGTGCATTGGTCTCATCAATTGACAGTGCGAAGGCAGTGTCTGGGCAGCCTTGGGTCCTTGTTATGTGCCCTTTTGCGGGGCCCTATAAAAGTCGTACCGGGACATTTCCATTGTAAATACAAACCTTAAAAATATATACACCTCCCACATCCATTTCACCCAAAACAAATACACGTAACACGTCCAAACAGGTTAGGCCCCATCAAGACACACTTGAGCATCTTAAGGGATAAGTTTTGAACGTCTTTGACGTTCTTAAACATTTGACCTCCAAACTTCACGAAACTCCATATACTTACTATAAACATCATTATAACTCATTTTAAGTCTTCAAAAGCACATGACATACAATATATAAGCACACATAGACATATTAGACACATAGATGACTAGTCATCGAACGTCTTTGTTGACCCTTGACGTTTGACTTCCAAATCACCTAAAAATTTCTGCCTCAATACCTTATTATAAGACATTTTAGGACCTTATAACCTTAAGATGATCATGTTAGGATTAGACACCCTAACTCAATTTTGGGGGTCTTACATCGTACTCGAGGACAAATTTTTCTTCATCAGCGAAAGTATTCCATAGACTTGTTGAAGAAATTTGGAATGTTGGAATGCAAGCCAATTGAAACTCCTATTGAAACAAATGTCAAAATTTGTGGACATGAAGGAAAATATTTAGAAGATGTGACAAAGTATCGCCAGTTGGTAGGTAGTCTTATATATTTAACTCAGGCTCAATCCAATATTTCTTTTGGAGTTGGTGTAATGAGTCATTACATATACAATCCAAAGAAGCACCATATAGAGGTTTATCGACAAATGCTAACATATGTGAAAAGTACAATTGGTTATGGTCTTCTTTATAGAAGAAGTGAATAATGCAAGTTGGTTGGTTACTGCGACTCCGACTATGCAGGAGATCATGATACTCGTCGTTCAACTATTGGATTCATGTTTAAGCTTGGAAATGGAGCAGATTCTTGGTGAAGAAAAAGGCAGCTAGTGGTGTCGCTATCAACAACAGAAGTTGAGTATCGACAATAGCAGGTGCAACTCAAGAAAGTACATAACTGATGCTGCTGATGAAGGATTTAAAGCAACCAGTTGGTGCAGTTTCCTTGTTCTGTGACAATCAGTCAGCAATCATTTTAGCCAAAAAATCCTTCTTTCAAGCAAGGACTAAGCATGTGGAAATACATTTTCACTTCATCAGAGAAAAAGTGTTACAAGGAGAGATTAACTTGGATCATATTCAAGCAAATCAACAAATAATAGACTTGTTCACAAAAGGCTTGTGCGCCATTAAGCTTGAAAGTTTTCGTCAGGAGCTAAGCATTGCTAAGACTAGAGCTAATGTCAAGAGAAGGTGTTAAAGTCGTGCAACATCAACATATCTGCTTTAGTTTGAGTAAGTCTTGCAGTAGCTCTTTTCTAGCTTTTAGTTGACACTTTGTTATTTAATTAGTTACTGATATTTTTCTAGTAGTAGTTAGAGCAAATTTATTTTCCTAGAGTTTAGGGCAAGTAGTTTAGTGGGATTATGATTCCACAAATTCTGTAAGCTTATATCAAGTCACTGAATGTATTAAATAAAATAACCTACAACTCCTCCGCAAAATAGTTTCACTGTTTTCTCTTCACTTTCTTTTTCCCTGTTATTTGTCGTTTGATTATTGAGCTTCCTTGTCACGTCCCGCTAATTCTCAGTAATATTTTGCATCCGGATAGAGGCAGAAAAGTCTTGAGTTATGGAGAGGTTTATAGAAAACTCTAGAAGCCCCTAGATCTTTCAGGAAGGCTTTGGAGAGTTCTAGAAGAAAGACTAGATATTTTTTAAGAAAGCCTTAGAATTTCCTAGAAAATTTAGACATTTCTAGAGAAAGGACCAAAGTGTAAATAAGTAGGAACTTGTAAAGTAATTATAAATTACACTTTAGCCCCTAGGTGTTAGTATAACTAGAGGTGTCACTCATTTCTAAATCATCCAACAACTTGTAAGCAATCTTCCGAAATTCTCTAACTATTTTCTTTCATTCTCTTAGCGATCTTAGCATAAAGAGCTTACTTGAACTTACAAGATCATGAAAGATTCGTGAATGTTGTCAAGGGCCACGGAGCTTTAGTAAGACTCTAAGTCCGTGACATTGTTGTTGCGTTTAGTTCTTCAGAAAGCTCCTAGGTGTTATGACTTGTAACAAGCTCAGTTTTCGACGGTTAAATTCTATTATAAATTGATTATGCAGTAGTTATTCTGGTTCAGTTTACTATTGGTAGTTATTATCTACTCCTTTGTTTAGTAGATGAATAACTCTCGGATGAGCTCTGTTGGGTTAATATTTTACTCTTCCTATTCTTTTCATTGTAGGTTGAAAAAAGTAGAAAAATACCATCATACCGGTCTGAACTTTGTCTTCTTGTCAGGATTTGATATTCAAACCTTCGGCTCCTGTCGATAATATTGAAATGTTTGTTAAAGAGTTTCCTGGGACCTGATATGCATATCAAGCCAAAAGTTGGAGCAGCTAGAGATATCATCTATTCACTTCTTTTGAAGTCACGATTAAGATTACATGAATATATTATTTATAATGAGCTTATATTTGATGTATGATTCTCTTCCTCCCCATCTCCTGCCCAGTTTCCATGAAAACATTATAGAGGAAAATATTAGAACTAGACACAAATAAATGGATAAAACTTTTGGAGTTGAATTCCAAACTTTAGTTGCTTCTTTTATTGTTACTGGAAATTAGTTGCTGCTGCAATGCTAGATGACATAATACTTGGCAGTAATTTTTTCTCCCTTCCAAACAAAAATGTATTATGATTTTGCAGAGAATATGTTGTAAATAAACAACATGGTGCATATGTCAATGTGCATTGTGCAACCCTTATGAAGTACTTCAAATGCATATGAGGACCATCAACAGTTAAATCATAAAAGATGGTGTAAATGTTCTCTTCTCGTCATTCAACAATATTTCTTAATAATTTTATTAGGGAGTAAAAAAAGTGACTAGGATCAGTAATTCATTCCAAGTGACGACATCAACTATAATAAAATAGTCCATTTTCAGTACCGTCAGTTAAATTGGAAAAAATTATTCCAAAAAGGGGTGTGACTATGTCAAATAGAAAATTTTACCATATATTTAGAACTTTAGAATAATATATTATGATATATTCATACTTAAACTAACAAACAAAGTAAATGTTTTCAAGGTGAGATTAAATCAATAGTTGTTAATAGTATGACCGTTTAACCTGTTCATATGAATATAAAATTTTTGATACGAAGAGCTTATCACTACATGGATTCACAACTTGAGAACACAATCAACATTATTATCATGAGAGATTGCATCAATAAAGATGGTAATTGCAATTAGTGCGACAAATTGTGTACTCTTGTGCATGAAACTAAAGGTTTTTAGCACTATAATTGGTGGGGTGATCCAGGCCAAGACAATAGTGCAACACCAAGGCTACTCTGGAAGGTCCCGATAGCAAGATAATGTAAGAACAGATACTATACTTGATCTAGCCAAAAGGCTGAGAAAGGTCTTAAACCTTTGGCAAAGTCATAATCTTCAGGAAAGATCACAACCTTTCAGAAAAGCCACAACTTTTCATAAAATTTGCAACTTTCATAAAAGTTGCAACTCTTCATAGAAGTCGCAACTATTCATTTTCCATGCACATCTTTTAAAACCCAAAACATAAAATGGAAAAAATTGTGTGCTATTATGAAACAAAAGGTCTTAAAAACTAGAATTGGTGGTGTGAGCCAGGCCAAGGAAGTAATAATGCTACACCAAGGCGAATCTTGAAGGTCCCAATAGCAAGATACCATGGTGGAACTTCGACCTAAAAAATTAGAGTTAATATCGTGTGAGTCGATGACTCACATATCAGATATTAAACTGAAAAAAATACTACACTTGATATTAGCTAAAAGGCCGAGAAAGGTATGAATTTCCATTTGTTATACCATGCTATTTTATATGTTACTTGTTCTATAGTAATCATCTTTATCTGATTTTATATATAAAACTAATTAAATCCCATATAATCGTTTATAATATAGCATTGGTCAAAGAGAAATGAATGAAACAATATTTGTTTTGTTGGCTGCAAAATAGTTTCAACAATGATGCTGAAATTAAGAGTAGATCACTTGTTATGTTACTTGCGTAAACCTAACATTCTGATATGATGGAACAAAGGTTAGCTTTAAGAGGTGATGCACTTTGTAACAAAATCAAGAATGTCACATAAGGTACGCAATTTATGCATGTGATCTAAAAGCTAATTTTTTACCCTCTTTAAACTTGAGGCTTTAGCAGATTGACCTTTTCCTTATATCAAAGGGATTTGCATTGCATTTGCTGAGTGCTAACATGAGTCGTATGGATTATGTTGTAGCTGCATTACTGATGGAGGAGATTTTCAGTATCAAGATGCTCTTCACAAAGAAGTAATTTTTCCAACCTGAGGATCAATATTCAATAGTTATGTCACTTGCCCTCCAACATGACTCGAACCGTCAACCTACAGGTTGATGTGAAGATGCTCAACCACTTGAGCAAGACGTTCAAAAGTTTGCCTTGATGTACTCAAGTGTGTGCTAGTGATACTTTGTATGTTTTATGTGGTGTTTGGAGTTCAAGTTGATGGGTGAGATTCCTAACATCTAGAAGAGCGTCTTTATGGTATAAATGTTTGGGCACAACTCCCCAAGTACCACCCTAAGGGTCCTTGAGGAGGACCCAACCTTTGGCTTGAAACTGCCGAAAACAATCTCAAACCACGATTACCAATTGATGCCTTGCTGTCCAGTGTAAGACCCGTTCATGGGGGTCGTTGCTCCACACTTAGGTGTAGGAGGTGATCCCCCGAAAATGATGGTCTCTGTCACAAATGATGGACTTGTAGGATGGAGCCATCATTCCATCGACGGTCCATCGCTAGCAGTCATCGTTTGGAACCTGCAATTTTCTATAGGTGTGTCGGCCAAGCTTCGGGTATTATGGGAAATTCACCTAGCATACAAACAATATTTTGCGTGATTTTATGGTTTTTCTTGTACTTTAAGTTACTTTGTAAGCCTAGAACCTAGATTAGATTTCATAATTCAAAAACAATCGAAGACCCCAAATAGAAATCTTAAGACTCCATTGAAGCTTGAAGCAAGGTTGAGGATAAGATATTGATTTCTCCATTGATTGCTCATCATTTTCGTAGATTGTCTTCATTGAGGTATGGTGTTTCATCCTTGAATCCTTTTTCTTCAAGCAGCCAAAATTCAAAGGCTTTTCTAAGACTTTCTGAAAGCGTGAAATCTTCTATTTTGACTTCTAGCCATGGGTTCTTGCATAAATTATTTGAATAAATGATTCATGATATAATTGATGTTAATTGAATGATTTTACATCAAAACTATAAACCCATGCAATTCATGAAATCCTAATTTTACCTCTAACATGGGTGATTTGATCATGACTTTATTGTACATAATTCTTGTGTAGATTACATTGGGATATTGAATGATGTATAGATCATGGTAGAATTGTATATAGGCTTCCCTAATTTGATGATTTAATATTGTATCTTTTTGGATCATTGCATAGTTTAATTATTGGTTTAGAATGGTGTATATGGCTATTGGTAAGAGCCTTTATGAAGTGAATTGATTGAGAAGTCTAAGCATTGGTGGTGTTGATGATGGAAAGGTGGTAATATGACCTACTAACTCTATATTGTGTAGTATAGGTATTGAATTTTTTTGATTGGTATGGTCCACTTATGGTGGCAGTGCTTATGTGTTATAATTGCAAAGAACATGGCCTTGTCAGCATTAATATCATAGCTTATATATATGATCAAGGTGAAGTATGATTATGTGTATATATGAGGTTAAAGTATGATTTCTTCTAATTAGTTATATGTGATCATGATAGACTATGATGATGCCTCTAGTTGTGTTGCTAGTGTGTCTTACTACGTAGAATTGATTGTTCCTACATGATACTTGAATATTATTGTATAGGTGATATTAAGATAATGTGTGTCTCTTGATTAATAGACTATGTCCCTCTACTTGAAGCATGGAAGTATGTGAACATAAACATCTTGACTTAGTAGGCTTAAGCACCTTTGTCTTATATGTGTATGAATGAATGTTTAATGAAAGTCTAGGATCGGTAGACTTAAGATGGTACCCTTATAAGTATGACTAGTAAATGACCTTGAACATGTAAAGAAGGTCAATAACTTGTAACTTTCAAACTAAAAGCCGTAATAATATCCTTCTTGTGTGAATGATGGACTTAGGGATAGGTTGGCTAGAACAGCATGAAACCATGTTTAAGGAAGTCATTGAGCTATCCTTATTGACCATTGAGTGGCATTCCTAGTGGACCCATGCTTGGTAAGGTGTATTATCATTTGGTAGTGACTAAAGTATGGTACTTTTTCATATTCCCTTAAGTGATTGATCTTACTCTATGACAACATGGCTAGCACTGAGTGAATATGCTTGTGGTAGTGACTCTACATAAGTTAAGACTAGAGTACAAAGAAACCCTTGATATTCCTTAACCACGTGCCTCCATGGGATGTTTCCCAGTTCTACCGTAGAACATCCTCCATCGAAGTAGGCTAGAATCCAGATTCCATGCCTAGATAGTATGGTCTTGGTTGGTTAATGCCTAATCTCATCATGTGGGATGCATTCTAGTGTTGGAGAAGTTCTACAATGTGTAGGTAGTAGAATGGGCGCTATCTATACATGGCACGGGTAGGGTTTGAAGATGCTAGAACGAGGTTCCCTAGGTCTTCTACAAGACCATTATGTAAAGTCCTTAATTGAGGAATTTCTCTAATATGTCTAAATGAACCTTGTTGACTTAAGCTAATGTATGTGAATAAAATGTACTTATCTAGAGTAGCTTTGAGGATTGCTTAGGTAGGCTTGAAGAAGGTGTATGGGTGGTCTCTTCATGTCTTACTTAGGTGAGTCTTAGAGTAACTTCAGGTAGGAGTTAGTTAATAAAAAGGAAATAATCTTACTTTAGGTAGTCTTAAGGATTGCTTAGGTGTACTTGAAGAGGATGTATGTGTACTCTCTTCTTGTCTTACTTAAGTAAGTCTTAGGATAACATTTGGTAGGAGGTTTATATGCTTACATGGTTTGAAGTGATGTTAATACTATATAGTGGATGACCTGAAATATGTGTTATATGTGTAGATTGATGTGACTATGGTTATTATACTTGTTTCTATAAAGTTTTCTTCAAAAGGGCATACAAAAGCATGCTATGAATAAATGTCTATTTTAGCATGGTTTTATTGCATGTCATCATACTTAGTGCATTAAATGTACTAATACCATTTATTATATTATCTCTAAAGATGTAGGTGACAAGTTAGAAGTTTATTGAAGTGAAGCTTAAAATTATCGTCCTTTCAAAAAGGTCTTGATATGTCCTCACATGATTCGAGGACATAGCTATGTTTAGCAATTTTTTCAAAAGATATTGTATTAGACTTTGATATTTTATATTTTGTTGATGTATGGGCTATGACCCAATATATTTGTGTGTCTAAGATGACTACAAGGAGACTTAGCATCTCCTATGTTTTCTATGAAAGGGACTTTGAACTATTGTTTTATTGTTGTGAAATTTTTTATTCCGCACTACTTTTCATACATATATGTGATGAGTGATGTCTAAGGGCTTGTGCAAGACCTCCGAGAGGTCGAATACACCATGTCCCTACTTGAGGATGCCATTTCTTCTAGGGTATACTCTCGAATCATGACAACTATTATGAAACAAAAGGTTTTCAAAACTAGAATTGGTAGGGTGAGCTAGGCCAAGGCAATAGTGCAACACCAAGGCGACTCTTGAAGGTCCCTATAGCAAGATAGTGTATTAGACTTTCCCCCTCCAAAAATAGAGTTAATAGACTGTGAGTCAATGACTCACATATCAGATATTAAACTGATAAGAACAAATACTAAACTTTATCTTAGCCAAAAGACCGAGAAAGGTATGATTTTTCATGTAATATACCGCGCTAATTTATATGTTACTCGTAGAATAAAATCTCTCTTTCAGTCAGTATGGGACTATAAGAGCTTCTATTTATAATTAAACTAGTAATCATCTTCTCTTGTTTTATATATTAAACTACTTTAATTCCATTTATCATCTATAATTCCATTGATCAAAGAGTAGTGAATGAAACAATTTAGGTTTGTTGGCTGGCAAATAGTTTCAACAATTTTGATGAAATTAAGAGTAGATCGCTTTGTCATGTTAGTACTTTGCTAAATATCTAACATTCTTCTATGAAGAAATTTTTTTTAGCTTTAAGAGGTGATGCGGTCAGTAACAGAATCAAGAATGTCACATAAGGTACGGATTTATGCATGTGATCTTAAAAGTTATTTTGTGAGTGCTAACATGAGTCGTATTGCCTATTACTAAGCTGCATTACTGACAGAGAAAAAGATTTTATAGTATCAAATGCTCTTCACCGACCCCACCCGAGGAGGATCACTATTCAATAGTAGTGTCACCTACCCTCCAACATGACTTGAACCGTCAACCTATAGGTTGATGTGAAGATGCTCCCCCACTTGACCAAGACTACTTATCTTGCAACAAGTTTGATCAATTATACAGATAGCTTATTCAATTTATTGACATAAAATTTTCCACTGCAACGTATCAATCTTGGTAAAAAATGTTAAAGGTTAATAATAACTTCACCAAAATACTAAGTATTAATATCTTTGTCCTGGATCTTGGAGAAACTCCTTCAACAAACATTTGAAAGAAAGGTTTACAATTAGAATTTGTGGGGTGCGCCGAGCTAAGGTAGAAGTGCAACACCTAGGTGACGTTTAAGGTCCTGATAGCAAGCTACTGTGATGGACCTTCCCCTCATATTCCTCTGTTGTGAACAAATATTGAAAACTAATAAGAAACACAAATTATTTTTCATGAATCTTTAAATATTTGTCGATTAACAACACAAATCAAACCTTTTGATCCTCTAGAGATTTGAGAATGTTGAGAATGAGCTTGTATAGTTCCCCGAAAATTGATAAGCAAGAATAAGTGCAATGCCAAAAGGCGCTTTAAGGTACTGCATCTCAATAGCAAGATACCATATGGACATCCCCTCAAAAATAGAGTTTAAGTATTATGCTTGATTTTACCAGATACCACACTTGATCTTACATTAGAGTGATACTTTGGGAGTATGTAGCTAAAATTGTATTCTTAAAACATTAAGCACCAGTGGTCTAGTGGTAGAATAGTACCATGTCACAGTACATACAGGGGTTCTATTCCAGGCTGGTGCATTATTTGAGTGTCAGGAAGATAATTGTTCCATGAAGGCCCCAATAACAAGCCACCATGGTAGGCCTTCCCCCTCTAAAATAGAGTTAATATCGTGTGAGTCAAGCTGCCGTGATGGACCTTCTCCCTTGAGAAATAGAGTTAATATTGTGTGAATCGATTAATCACATATTATAAATTAAACTGATAAAAACAGATAGTATACATGATCTTAGCTAAAAGGCCGAGAAAGGTATGGTTTTCCATTTTTTATGCTGGGCTATTTTATATGTCACCTGTTAAATTAAATCCCTCTTTCTAGGCAGTGTGGAACTTGAAGAACTTATTATATATTTCTCTCCAAACACAAATGCTTAAAATATTATTTTTTTAATGTGCATTCACTAATCTCTTCAAGCTGATCTAAACATTCATATAAATACAATTTATCATACATATTTCTGGGATAAAAGTGTCTGACTTGTTACACCCCTTTTTCGCGCATCAGCGGCGGAGGTAGGGTTTTTTCAATTTAAGTGACATTATTGACTTAGGGATTCCTTTTTTTTCCAGAGTTTCCACTTGGAATTGAGTTATGGTGTTGAGTCACCTTTTTTTTTGTTTAATCCTTAATAAAAAAAAGGAAATGACTATTTTGTTTGGTTTGCAAACCAGAAGTTCGGGTAAGTATTAGGCATCCCTCGAGTCTTGTGGTTCTAACACGGTCACTTTTATTGACTTATACTTATTTTAACTATTTTTTTAGTATACTTTATATACTACAGGTTCTCTCATATTTTTATTGTTGAATTTTTATTAGTCTTAAACTGGATGAATAAATGTATTCTCGATCTTGACATTTAGAGACATAACTGTTTACTTCACATTTCACCTAATCATATATTTATATAAAACAAAACCCTATGCCCGCCTATATGGTGCAACCACAAACCAGAATTCTCTTTTAACTTATTTATTTTCAAAATAAGTTTCCCCTTTTATGAAAAGTTGTGTTTTGGCTAAGAGTTGCGACTTTGACAAAAAGTGTTGACTTTTTATGAAAAGTTATGACATTTACGAAGAGTTAAAATTTTTACGAAGAGTTGAACTTTTATAAAAAAATTGTGACTTTTATGAAAGATTGTGACTTGACCAAAGAGTTATGACCTTTTTGACAAGTCACAATAATCATTTATTCACACTACTTTTGTTGTCTATAACTAGATAGATTTTTTCTAATTTTAACACAGTGAAATTTCTGAACTTCTTCTTCTTCTTCTTCTTCACAATTAAATATTTTTAAATTTACCTCCCGTTGGGTGGCTCACTGACACCATAATTCTTGTATCAACACACTGGTGTATAGAATCAATCTGTCCTGAGAGGATCTATTCTTTTAAGTCTTGGGTACTAGAATGAAATAATTTTCTTAAGGGGACAATGTGCATTGAGGGGGATCAACATTTTCTTTATGTTTCATTTAATTATTGAAGATCCTGTTATGCTTTTTACAGTCATTAATTTATGCTTATTTTATTAATTTTTATTTTTTAGTACATGTTTAAAACTTTGTTGTTTATGTTTATGTTTTTTATCATTATGTTGAAGTAAAGATATGTTAATCAAGAGTTTAATGTAATCATTAGACTATTGGTGTCATGTATATTAAAATTCTTAAACTTGTAAAATAGATGACTTTGATCTTTGTAGAGTTTTCAGTGGCTAAAAGATCCATGGGATATCCAAGAAGGGAATTTAGTGTTCAAAAGATATGTGGTTCTACTACCTTGGAGTTTATTTATTCAACTTTTTATCTTATCGAGTCATTTAATCTATTAGTGACATCCAAAAAATAAAGGAATGTAGCGGGATGGTAAATATTGTACTCAACCTTGGTCAAACCTTTGGGGTTCAAATGTTGGTTTGGAGTCAATGAATTACCCCTCAAAGTAGGATGAATCTACAGTAATCAAATATTAAAGAAATAATTATCTCCTTATAAACATTTTATTAAAAGTCCCAAAAAAAAGTTTTAACCATATTGATCGAAACATAAATGCCAAAATATGTCTTTTGTCTATCAAAGTAGTGTCATTGACTTTGTGTGATTTTGAATGAGGGACTTGCGAATACATCATTTAATCCAATTTCGAGCAACATACGTTATTTCATTGAAATCTAAGACATGTGTTTTTATATTTTAATAAAGTTATTAAGTACACAACAAATTATATAAGATATATAATATTCAGATTATGTATGTAGATGCCTTGAATAGGAGGAAAACTCTCGCAGTTGATAAATAAAATGTTTGTAACATCTTTTTAAAAAGAAAAATATAGAAAATCAAATAATTACATATATTTTTGAAAGACTTTGATAATGAACAACTACAGTAAAAAGAAGAATTAATAACAAAATCAATAAACACGTAGAATCAATTTATCATAGGGTTGTACCCTCTCGAAAACACTTACATTATCAAATGTTAGAAGTAGATTATTGACGTAGTTCACCACCGCGTGAAGCGCAGACAATTTACCTAGTAATTGTCTATAAGTGTTACTTTAAATTAATAAAAGTTTTTTACTTTTTTATACAAAGTGTGTCGCTGCATCTTGCATTTCTTTTACTGTCTCAAAAAAAGATGTGTATCCACATTCTTAATTGAAACAAATATTTATTAATATGCCTAAAACTCATCTAGTCATTTAAACAAATATTATTCCTTCATTCATAAAACTAAATAATGTAAAATAAATCTAAATGTTGAGGATACATTATATACTTCTGATATTATTTCTATATCGTTTATTTTTATATGTTAATATTTTATATTTTTATTAATCTTTAAGTTATTGTCAAAATTAAGTATTCACTTTCTAATAAAATAAAACAATAAAGAATTGTTAAAAACAAATCTCATTTTGTGTTTGATAAAATATAATAATAATAATTTATTTATTTATTTATTTTTGTCTTATTGTACCAACTTTGTCATTATTACCTAAATCAAGACAAAAACAATGTTATAATCCATTCATTTTTAAGAGGTCACAACAAAAAAATAGAAATAAATAAAATAAAAAGTAATCATTTTTAAAGCTACCATCATTTATTTAACTGATATATAATAGCTAACAATCTGTTCATTTGACTCAAATTACATTAAATTTCATGATAAATCAAAGAGATAAAGTAAAATTGAACCTTAAATCAAGAAGTAAGAACCGCAAAATCTTGACCAAAATTAAATTAGAACGCTCATCTATTTTATTTTTTTGGTGTGGATGTGTGTTTGTATTTTTTCTTGTTTTGCTCATGGTTCTTGGTGTTTGTGATTTTTTTTTTTGATGCTGCTGATTTCTTTTTTCTGATTTTCTGTATGTCTTTTTGGGTGTATCTTTCTGCATGTGTTGTGTTTCTGTAGGTTGGGAAAATACGTCTGTGTATGTAGGTGTACGTGGGTAGAAAGGGAAGTGGGGTGGAGTGAATTTTAATTTTTTAATAATATAATATAATATAATATAATATAATTGTTTTTTCAAAACTAACAAAAATTGAGAAGTTAATAATAAATTATAATTAAGAAATACTAGCTTATTTATTAAACTAAAATAATATATAATACTTTTTTGTTATTTTTCGAATCTTTTAAAATAAACTCACCAAAATAAGATGAAATTAAAATATCTAATTTAGA